AACACAGTCTGAACAAATTCTTTGCCTTGATGGATACCTGGTCATGGCTTTAGAGGTTAAGAGGGTCAGCAGAAGCCACAGCAACCGGACACCGCGAGAGGGCTGGCCGGGAGTTCCCCTGCGGCTTCTTTTTGAGTCCAAACAGTGGCTCCGAAGTGCAGAAGTGGTGGCAGGCTTGGAGTTCCAAAGCTTCTGGAAATGCACGGCGTAATCTCGCTTTTCCGATTCCTGGAGCTCATCAGAACCTCCAGCTCAGGTGGTGAAAAGCAAGGCAGGTAGAAAACGGTTCCCCAAAAGGCCTTTCCCACCAGAGCACGGTTTGTAGCCTCTCTGCTCCCTGCCAAGGGGTTCCCCAGCTGTGGAATCAGAGCTCCGCTCCCGCTTCTTTGCTGACTGTCACTGGAAGCTGGCCATTTCCACCCACGAGGTGGCTGGACGCAGGAGTGCAGCGACACTGCTGATCTGGGCTCTGTGCCCTAGCCACATGACCCCATGCCAGGGGATCCATCTCTCTGGCAGTAGGCAAGCCCTGGGAGCCTACGTTGGCTTCTGCGTCCCTGCCCCCAATGCCCTTGGCCTGGAACGAACATGATCTTTGGCAGAGAGCTTCTCCACCAGGTCAGCTCAAGACTTCCTCCGACTGTGTTGGGTGAATAAATCGCCTGTCACCTCCACCCCGGCACGGGTGACTCACCTTCCAGAGAAAGTACTCTGCTCACCTAAGCAAAGCTGCCTGGAAAATGACGAAGGTACCTATCAAATGCAGTGTGGGGGGCCAGCCAGCTACCGAGCTGGGTCCAAGCACACTCTGCCTCTCACCTCCAGCCGGAAGTCAAGTGCGGAGCTGCCACCCCAGGCCTGCTGGTTTCATTTTCATCTGAACACGATGCCTGACATCCGGTAATCTATTTTTTCTAAAAACTAGGTTCACTTTAGAAATGACTCTTTGGCCATCGAGACAGCTTCCCCGGGAGAAAACAAAATGTTATTTAAAGGGAACATCAGCCTGGTGGAGCCTATATTTTTGTTTTGTATTAAAAAGAAATAATTTAGAATGTAATGTGAACTGTTTCCCCCCACCCCTTGATTTAAAGGGAACTAGGCAAGTCTCTGACCGCAGGTCCAGGGGTGGCACCAGTGATAAGTCGACAGAGGCGTATTTAGGAGAAGGAAGGGTGGCGAGCTGGGGGTGCCACGTGGTGGTGGGAACCTTACTCTACAGAGCCAAAGTTTCCTCCTGGTCCCCAGGGCAAAGAGGAACAAGTCCCTGTCGACTTATCTTTTACACAGTGTTTTCCTTTTCTACCCCCAGAGTTAAGGTTGGGACCCACCTCGCCACATGGAGGACTCAACAAAGCCCTGGAAAGGCCCCGCTCTGCCTGTGGCTCGGAGGCCTGGGACGGCCGAGGGTGCCCACGGCTCAGAATCTCCCGCTCTGACCAGGCTGAGCCCGGGCCTTCTCAGGCTCATTTGGAGGGTGGTGAGGGCAATGTCCAGTGTAAGACACGGAGGCCCTGGAAGCTAAAACCTCTTGATGGAAGAACTGTCCCGCTGGAGGTCCTACTGAGAAAATGACTCTGCCCTGTCAGGCAGTCTGATCCATCCTGACATCATCTTACAGAAAACGGGTCTAGTCGATGTGGTAACTGGCAACCACCACTACTGCTATTACTACTACTACTATCACCAACAATGTTTACAGCCCGACAACACCACCATTTGTGGCACATGCCTGGGTTGTGGGCCAGGTCCCTGTTTGGGGGCGGTTGGGGGTGCGTGCGCAAGAAGCAGCCACATGTTGATGTTTTTCTCCCTGCTTTCTCCCTCCTTTCCTGTTTCTCTAAAAGTAAATACATTTTTAAAAAAATCTTTAAAAAGAAATGTGAGTTTAGATTCTGGGCATAACATTGATTTCTTGAGTCATCTCCTCCACTGTATTTTTCTTCACCAGGCTTTATTTTCCTGTCTTTCCTTATACAAATATTGTGAGACAACACAAACAATAGCTACAAAGTACCATTATTCTTGACGCCATATAATTTCAAGGGATTTAATGGGTAGGGCAAGGGATTAAAGAATATACAATAGCAAGAAGGCAGGGGAATCATTTCAAATAGAATACAAAGAAAGGCGCACAGACCACTGAGGAAAAATGACTTTTCTCTGCGTTGTCGCTCAGGTGGTCAGGGCAGCCCACGACGTAGGACTTGTATCCAAAGCACTTCAATGTCTTGCTCAGCTCCACTGAAATGTCCTGCTACACAATTTGCCCTGTGTTTGGCCTTCCATTTCTAATCTACCGCTTTCGACATTTCAGTCAGCACCACCAAGTACATGCGAAGCCTTCACACATGCCTCCCTTCGCTCGCCGCCCCCCGCCCCCCGCAGACGCTCACTCCCACTCCTTTTCCTGCGTGTGCGGGGCCAGGGGGGCTGGCTGATCCTCCGAGATCCCCAAATCCACTCGCAGGGAATCATTCCCCTCCCCATTGATTTCACACCAGGGCTATCAAAAGTGCCCATAATGCTCAGATGTTTCCAGTTTAACTGAAATACTAAAATGGGGCAAACAGGAAGCATCAGACACAACTGCGGTAGTGACTTATTAATCATGAAAGCAGAATTTTAGTTGCATTTTAACCTTTTGCCAGGAAAAAAAAACACCCAGCTCTGAGACGATGAGAGCTGTTGGTACAAATACGTTGCCTCTCTGTGTATCAGGCTGACTTTTACTTTTAATTTAGAACTGAATTTGGTTTTCAGGTTTCTTAACTAGCCACCCAGAAAGACATCCATCAAGTCAACCAACATGAATCTGTCAGCTCTTCGTCTCTGCAGTCAGGCCTGTTAGGAAAGCTCATGCGCTGTCCATTGAGACAGGAAAAAAATAGGAAATTCAAAGTGACTTCACAGGCCAATGTGATAAGACACTCTTAAGAGGGTGCCAAGAGTGAAGAAAACAACCCAGGAGGAAGGTTTGCCTCATTCACGTCTCTGCAGATCTTTCACCAGACCCCGGCCAAGAAGAACTGTTATCACGCACAAAACAATCACAACAGTTGCTTGGAGTTGGACAACCAATCAGGGCAAGCCTGCTTCTCAACATTAAATGATATACAAACACTCCAAGCATATCACAAAGAAGTCAGTGTTCAACGGGAGAACCAAAATGAGGAAGCAAACCTCCATCTGTTGAGGCGAAACGGCCAACGAGACATTTTTGTTTGATAGATGAAGGCTCATTTGGCAAGGTCTCTCGTCTGCGGTGCCGCTCCCACAAACGCTAACAGACAGTACCAGGGGCAAAAAAGCCCCTTTAAAACTGCTCCTTATATTCTTAAAACAGAAGACGACCTAAAGTTTAGCACCTGATTGCTGTCTGATTTCGCAAAAGTGTGAGGACACATACCTGGATACATATTTCTAAATTTAAAGTCAGAGACTGTTACTTTTATTTTGAGAACTCCTGAGAAGTTCACCACACCCTTCAAAATAAATGAGGATGTCCTAAAGGTGTCTGAGAGACTCAGAGGTCTGGCATCACTGCACCATAGGAACTGACTTCGACATCACTTCAAAAACACCAAGAGTAAATCCAAACACATCATAAGCAAGACAAGCACCTGGCCACCTTTTTCCCACATTAAGAGCATAATTCCACACCAAACACTTCTCCCTCTTTTTCTGCATCGAAGTCCCAGGATGTGGTCCTGGTCCAACACAAGGAGCATGGGGAAGATTCCAGCAGCCCCGGCTTGAGTCCTCACCTTAAGTCCTAGCTGCTGGGCTTTAGGCAAGATGTATACCGCCCCCCTCCTCAGGCGCTTTTCCTATAAAACAAGACAGGGCTATCTATCTTGTCACGCATGTCTGAAGGAAAAAGGAGGTAACAGGTATGAAGATACTTAGTAAAAAACACATCACTAATGTTAAGATGCTATCTCCTTCTAATCTTTCAGAACAACCATGTTTCTAGGCAAGGGGTTTTCAACATTTTTCCTGGAATAAACTTCCGTTTGCTCTTTTGAATTAGGCTCTACCTCTCATCATTTCATTTCACTTGCTTTTACAGTTCTTAATCAAGTCACTGGTGTTCACGCTCTCCATTTAACAAAAACTGATTTCTGTTACATGTACTCCACTCATCCTCTCTGCGAACCATGCTCATTCCCCATTTCGTCATTCAGGACTGAGAGCAACATTTTAACTTTAATAAGGAAGGAAGGAAACACTTAAAAAAAAAATTACGCGGCACCGGGGAGGCTCCTGGGCAGGTGAGACTTCATGCACTGTACATACAAGTGGCCTTTTTCTGCCTGGTGCCCAGTGGCTGCAGGTTGCTAGGGGCCACATAGAGCTTCTAAGATGGAAATATATTTGAGCCGACAGATAAAAGTCCCGAGTGGAGTGGCCAGAAGGATTACAGAGGAGTCAGGGGAAGCGGGAGGATGCTGCGAGTGGCCAGCATGCTCCGCTGAACGCCAAGGGCAGCCTCTGCTCCTTCTCCCCGCCTCCGGGTGTGCGACCGAAAACTTCCTAGGGAAGGCCAGAGGGTTTCACTGGCAGGGCAGGTGGGAGGGCGCACGGACAGGGAGCACTTGTACATTAAAAACCTGCCCCGAGCCTAGGGGAGCCCCTATCCTACAGAGCACCCAGGGAACGGGGAAGGAGGGGCAGGCCCGGCGCTGAGCACTGGGGAATCGGGATTTTGGGAAGGGGAAGCAGGGCGCCCCCGTGCGCGATTCTGACTAGCGTGCGCCTGCGGGGGTGCAGGGCGATCACGGCGCGCGACCGTGGCCCTGGCAGCGTGCGTGAGGGCGCGCCGGTGGTGAGACCCTAGGGCCGAGGGCCCGCGCGCGAGTGGACTCGTCTGATCGGCCGCGCCGCTGACCCCACTATTCCAGGGCGGCGGGCCAGGCCGCATCCCGTTCCCGGGCTGAGGGGCGACCCATCCCCGGTGCTTCCCGCTCCGGGACTCGGGGTCCCGCTCCGTCACCTACCGGCCGAGCGACGATCTCCCGAAGCAGCGACTGTCGCGCTCCCCTCGCCCACGATCTCTAGCCGCCGGTCGCCGATCGCTGTCCTCCGGGCCCACGGTCGCCCAGCCCCACGGTCGCCCCGCCCCAGCCTCGAGCCCCACCTCCTTATCGCCTTCCCGGCCGCCTCCTCGCCACGCCTCCCCCTACGGCGGCGGCAAATTCGCCTCGGTTCGCGCCTCCTACCTATGGCCGCACCTCGACCCATGGCCCCGCCCACTACACCAATCTAACCAATGACCTGGCGCGCCTCAGTCTCCGTCGTACCGCCCCTAGCAACGATTGGTTAGCGAGGCCTCGCTTCCAGAAATGGGCACTATTTCCGGACAATGTTTATAGTAAAGACTCTGCTGGCGGGACGGATCGACAGGAGGCGGAGGCGCCCGGGGTTTGGTCTAACCGCACAGGCGCGCTTGGCTTCTGGCAGTTTTTTTTTTTTTTTTTTACGGGTTGCGTTCTTCTGGAGGTTACGGGAAGTAAGAATCACTGTGCGCATGCGTGGGCACTCCCAACCTTGGACTTCAGTTACCTTGGAGACGGCGAGGCGCTTTCCCTGCTTGGCCAATCTCTGTTCCCTCTTTGCCCGAGGCCAGGACGGCTAAGGCAGGTGGGGCAGAGGAGGGGGCGCTTGTAAGGTGGTGGTGGTCAGAAACATTTTTTTATTGAGCAGTTACTCTGTGCTCCGCGTTGTAGAATGCCAGAGCACTAGTAAGACAGGTTCTAGTTCTTGCGACCGAGAAGCGTGGGGAGCCAAGGGCCTACACAGGTCAGATCTCTGTGTTGAAACTCAAATCTAATGAGAGCAGGTGGATGGTGTGGTGCAACCCCACCCCACAGCCAGAGAAGCAGCGTGGTGCCAGCGCTGCGCGAAGGATCTCGTCTGTGGGTTCACAGGTTACAGAGCCAGAGAGAAGACTGTAACTTGACCTGAAGTCTGAATATGCACCATGGTGTCAACAGTGTCTTTTTCTGAAAGTAGAGGTGGGGGGCGAGGGGGGCCGTTAAGGAAAGTATGGATTTCCCCCCCTAATATTTGTTTATCTGTATTTTCAATGAGCTTATATTTTATTTGTAATAAAGAAAAAAATCCCAAACTTGTATAAAGTATACGTTTGTAAAATGAAAAAGATAGGTCCCCACTCGGCTCCATCAGTGGTCCACAGCAGGCAAGTGTGACAACTGGCTCTAGTAGTGGGAGTAGGTATGCTCCATCCAGAACTGTTTTGGGAGTAAGGATCCCCTCATCGCTCCAAGTATTGGAGCAAAGAGCTGCTCAGCACCACTTTTCAGACAGTCCTTGGTAGTTCGAGGCCAATTTCTGGAGATCTCCCTTGCTGGGGAGTAGGGAAGACCCTTCACTGAGGCAGGTGCCCAAAACTCACAACCTAAGGGCCTCACCCACTCACTCATACTGTTCTTTGTTTGGCTGGCCAAATGTGTTTTTTTTTAATTTGAATTTGAATGCCTTATAGAGCAGAGCCTGCAGTTTCCCATAGCCCCTGCCCCTGTTGTCTTACACCCAACATTTAACCTTCCGTCCTCTGTCTGACCCCTGAAGCGTTCCCCGTCGTGGCCCTCATAGAGCCTTGCTTTGGAGTTGAACAGTCTCCAGTGCGAAAACTGGCTGTGCCATTGATGGGCTTGCAAGAGGGTGGGCAAGAAAGAAACTGGTGACCCCTAAAGCTCCTTCCAATGCCAGGGTTTTTCATTTCAGTGACTCAGGAAGAGGTGGAACTTGGCTGGATTGTGGGTTCCAGGTTGGTATCGGCGAGCCTGGAGGCCGGGTTTGCCTCTTCCACCACCTGTTCGCCTCTGGGCGTACCACTTCTCAGGAAAGACAGGGCGCAGGGCCAGAATCTGCAGATGCTCCGTGGCTCGCCTTCGCCTTTTCCCTCTGTCACCATTCCTTTTTGGGGATGCCCAGTACCTGCATACTTAACCCCGCTTCCCTTCTCTGGGTCCCCGCCTGCCCTCATCCACCCTCTCAAGATTATCTGCCTTTAAATCTATGTGTTAACACTAATGTGTATTAGTGGGAGAGAGTGAACGTGATGACTCAAAACTGCAACTCCCGAGAAGGAATTTCACAGCAGGCAGTAGAGGAGGAAGAAACCACTACTGGCCAGTGAGGAAGGTAACATGGGATAAGAAAGGTCTTATAATTTCAGTTCTTTTTCTCAGGCCTTTCCGAGCCCCACCACGTGTGGGGTAAGGTGAGAAACAGCACAACCTGCACTCTGAGTGAGGACCAGGGAATCTCTGAGCCTTGAAATGCTTATGCCTTCAGAGCTTCAGAGCAAAGTTACTTCCTCCCAGTTCAGCCAGTTAAGCCACGGACAACTTGAGAAGGCTTCTGGCCCTGAGTCACTTGTGCAGCCTCAGCTCTGCTTTAAGTAAAAATAAATCAACAGGTACTGGGTGATTCACACCTGGAGCAGTGATCCAGGTCCTCAGCACTCAAGTGGTTCAAGTATTTTCAATGGTACCCCACCTCAGTTGTTCAAGTCTGGCTGTAGAAGGGTAAGACTATACCCGTCCAAAAAGAATAGCAGCTTCTGTTTTTTGAGAGCTTACAAAAAATAAACTGGACACTTCTAAGTGCTTTTTGTGCATAATGTCTGAATATTTACTCTAGACCAGGGTTTTCCAGCCTGGCACTATTGACATTTTGGATGGGATGCATTTTTTAGCAGGGGTGGGGGTAGCTTTGATGTATGTTGTAGGATGGTTAAACGTATTCCTGGCCTTTGCTCACCAGATGCCACCACCCCTCCAAACCCAGTTGTGACAACAAAACATATCTCCAGACATTGCCAAATACCCCCAAGGGAGCAAAATTGCCCTCAGTGGAGAACCCTCGCAGTCTAACCCCATAGAGTAGGTTCTATTACTAACATCCCCACTTTACACGATGAGCAAACTGAGGCTCAGAGAGAAGTAACTTTCCAAAGGTCATTTTGCTGCAAAAGGAGACCTGGGATTCGAACTAGGTGTGACCCCAGGGTCCCTGCTGTCCTATATACAGGATTCTACTAAGGGACTTTGGGCCTCAAAGAGCCAGTTGCTTGTCATTTCTGTAGGACAGTCACAAAGAGTGAGTGAATTTTGTGCATCAGTGAGAGAATGCTATCCTTGGATCCGTTTTCCCTTTCTGTTTCCTTTGGAAGATAAGAAATTATATTCCAGTTTTTACTGCCTAAGCACAGTTCATGGTGTCTGTCTATGTTTAGTGAGAGAGTGGCTAGTAAATCATCTGAGTGTCTATGGACCAAATTCCTGTGAGATGCTGAAGTTACACTTAAGAACTCAGATGGGAGGCTGAGCAAGGTCCGAGGTGACGGAGGGCTGGGGGTGGATGTTCCTGAAGGAGAGGTGGCTTCACTTTCCCCATCGGGGTCCTCCCTGAGGCTGCAGCTGTGGCACTGTCCCTGCCCTCCCTGGCTTGGACCTGCCCCACTGCTGCCACGCAGTCTGGAGTTACGTGGAGGGGCCAGGGAGGCAGGGGAGAAAGCGGACTCAAGCATTGGTGTCCTAGAGCTCTCTTCTTACTTTGCGATCAGTGGCATTTTCATGTGGGTAGCTTGACATCGCAAATGATGGGAGTATTTACACCTCAGCAATTGGCAAACAGTATAAAGCAGGGCTGCGCACCCTCAACCTGGTTGTTAAACATTTACCAGCACGCCACTGCATGCAGATTCTGGACCCTGACTGTCCCCTGATGTGGGTGAGAAGAAGAGGTGCCAGTCGGAGTTGCCAGGGTGGGGATCTCTGTGGGGGCACTTGGCAAAGGTGACTTTACCAAGACCAGGTCCTGGACAGACCTGCCTGAGAACCTTACCAACTTTGAAGCCTTCTTAGGGGGCCCTGGGTTAAGATTTGACTCAAATTCTTCTCACTTCCCAATTGGTTATCCCCTTCTAACTCATCTCCCTGCCTCCGGTCTCCTCTCCACACTACCCTCAACCCTTCTGGTGGGTTTAATCCCCCTAAGAGACCACTTAGGTGTTATGTTCCACCCCCCTCTTCCCCCCAGCTGCTCCCCTTTAAGCTTCGTTTTCTCAACCTCCAAATGGGATCAAGTCTGCAGTCTAAAAACAAACCAATAAAGAAAAAAATCCTCCCCCTGTCCTGGCTTTCCCTAACACTGTTGGCCCGACTTTTTATTTCTCTCTCAACTCCCAAACTTCTTGGTCCTCCTTGTGTCTGTTTCATCTGCCACTTGCATGTGCGCTTTACAGCCTGGTTTTTGCCTACCACTCCTCTCCCCGTGGACAGCCACTACTTCTAACGGCCTCCTGGCCAGATGACCTCACCTCAGCTCTCACCTTCAGTCAGCCACAAATGTGATGCTTTGAGCACCTGCCACGTCGGGCTCTGGGGAGGGAATGCGGAACCTCCAGACCAGTGCCTGCCCTTAGGGAGCGTCTGGCGCAGTGGGTGGGTGGGTGGACCTTGAACAAGTGACTGCTCAGGAGGGTGTAAGTCATTTCAGGTGATGCGGGCGACGGGAGGGTGGAGAGAGGGTCCTGTGTCAGGCAGGGCCCAACCTTGGAAGCAGAACTCGCGCTCAGTTTTTATACATGGAATTAGTTTTTTCAAAGCATGAACAGTAATAGCTCTTTTTCTTTTTAAGGACTTTTAAAAATCCTTACCTGAGGATGTGTTGTATTGAATTTAGATAGAGAGGAAGAGGGAGGGAGAGAAACCTTGATGTGAGAGAGAAACATCAACTGGTCACCTCCCGTACCCCCAACCTAGGTATGTGCCTTGACTGGGGATAGAACCCGCAGCCTTTGGTGTATGGGATGACACTGCAACTAACTGAGCCACCTGGCCAGGCCTATACCTGGAATTTAATGCAAGGATTGGTCACACAAAGGACAAAGAGCTGAGAAGCTGCGCAGAAGGAGATGGTGATGTAACCAGGAATCCACTACTACCCTAGGGTGGAGGGACTTCAGGGAGACAGCAATGCTATCCATGGTTGGAGGCAGGGGTCACCTGGAAGAAGATGGAGCCACCGAGGAGACGCAGTCACTTCCATAGAC